AGACTGTGGAAGTATTTTCAGGCTCCAAGATATAATGTGGGAATGGGAATTCTGTCAAAAACTGCCTGTGAATTTTTCTGTTCTTTCTCTAGAGACATTAATCAGGACTTTGCCTGTACTCTAATATTATTTGGCCTCCAGACTGACTCCTGGTTAAACTGATGTCCATCCAGTCCATGTGAATGTGCCTTTGCTATTCTTATAACTTCTAGTCCTGGAACAGAAATGGTTTCTCCCTCACAAGCCATGATAGGTCACAGGGGATTGTAAGTGGTGAATAGCTACTTAACTTCCACTGACCCTCAGAAAGAAAAATGCTGTTGAACCTGTGCTTCCGGCACAGGTTCAACACTTCCGGTGTTGCCTGCATATAAGCTCAATAGTCAATTCTCCAGTTCAAGAAACTTCTTTAAAAATAATTGATCAAAAAAATCCATTTCCTTATACAAAGTCCTTAGCTAATTGTATAAATTAACTAATTTTTCATATGTCTCTGTGTCTTAGCTTGAAATGTTTCTTCCCTACTATTTAAGTTAGTCATTGTATTTTTTATTAAGTCATCAATTTTTTTAATTTTTTAAATATGAGCAATAGGAGAATATCTCCAAAGGACATAGCATGACCCATTATATGATTACATTTTTTACCTCTCATCATTGCTTCTTCTCTTCCACTTGTTTTCTTTAAAGGCAAAAAGTCAAGGGATCTGTCAGAAAAGCAAGCAGGTGTGATTGAAATTAGTCATATAAATGCACACCACACACAGCTGGTCTGAGTAATGTACAACAGAATTACCTTGTGCTCTACCAACTCCCCAAGGCCCCAGAAAAGGGACATACGAAGGAAGTTTAGAAAAATAAAAAAGCAACAAAATAATTAAGGTACATTAATTTATGAGGGACAGTATGAGAGCTATGTGGCTGGATAAACAATAACTAAAGACCCAGGAAGGCCTGAGAGATTACACAGAATGGAATGACTGAGAAGATGAGAAAGGACAGGGTTATCCTGAGGATGGCAACAACATGGTCACTCATCTCACTTGGTCCATTTTTAATAGAGAAGTTCCCATGCTTTATATTACAATTCTCTAGTTAAGAAGTAATTTTTTAAATCTTTTCTAATGGTGGGAAAAATGATGTAACAGCAATGAAAACTTTGTTACCTTTACAAAATAAGAGAGACTAAACATATTCTAGGTAGGAGTACTGGCTGGTTAATAATTGGGATATAAGTCAATGGACAGTCTACTGAAACAGAAAAAGTGGCCATGAGGCTTTGGTGTCATACCTGGAATAAGGGGAAGAAAAGAGAATAAGAAGTGAAGGAGGAGATAAATAGACCAAAGTCCTGACAGTCTCTAACCTTGCAGTGCCCCTATCTTGGTTGGCTGCCAAGCCCAGCCATTCAGTAAGTGTTTCTAATAAGATCTCGCAGAGACCTCAACTGCCACACAATTTGTTTCCAACCGGAAAGGATCACCAGCTGCTCTGCAGGCCTTTAGACTCTTAGTGCCATGGAAGTTAGAAGTTACCTATAGAAATAGATGGGTGGGTGATGGCTAAAAAAAACCAATGTAGCCTCTACTTCCTACTAAAGGAATCGTAGCCTCCAGTTTTGTCTTACCTCATCTTACATGGGATAGGGAAAAGTGACAAAATAAGCGACACCTCTAAATTTCAAGAATGGGCCAAGTATGCCTGTCTGGTGCATGTCTGTAAGTACAACTACGAGGGGGTGAAGGCAGGGGAGTCACGGACCAAGGCTCACTCAGCCAAACATGTAAGACTCTTTACCTAAAGGGAGAAATAGCCAAAGCAAAAGATGAACATGGCTCGGGTAGCAGAGTGCTTTCCTACTAAGCATAAAGCCTTGAGTTCAAAAAGGTCCAGCTGACCACTTGCCTTTCTCTGCAGTAGTAGTTGAGGATGTCACAGTGGATGTGACACACACATACACACACCCCAATCTCAAGGACTCCCGGGCAGGAGAAGCAAGGAGACCTTGAGAGCGACTCAGTCATTAAGTGCTAGAAGAGACAAGCGAAGCATACCAGGTCTGTAAAAGACCAGCCTCAATTACAGCGTGGAGGATTTTAGATACGATGACATGACCTGTTCGTCAGCAGCTAGTCTCACTTCAGTTCACAATTGCTGTAATGGGGGAAAGGGGGGTGAAGAGAGGAGGAAGCAATGATAGTAGATGACACAATGAGCGTGCTTCGGTTATACTTGCCAAGTGTACTTTCTTTATAATAAAAAGAACCACCTCTATTTTCCTAGAGAGCTGCTCTTCTGTCCCATTCCAACCCATATGTGTTAATTAACCCTATACCTTACCTTTCTTATTTCTACAGATAAGCCTGGGGTTAGCCCACGAACTTCTTTTCCACAGTTTTAGAAAAGAAGGGCTTAAAGAAAGGGACATCCGTTCTGAGCTGATAAGGTCATCAAATGAAAGGTTGTGGTAGGACCATTCTCCCTCATATAGATGAATCTGAACTGGGTTGTGACAATGCAGAGAACCAATAAGGTTAGAGAACAGATCCTGTAGGCCCTCAAGGCCTTGGGCCTAATGAATTGTAAAGCCTAGTGGCACATCTCTCATGGTTACCAAGGAACGTACGGCAACATCCTTCCAACAAATGCCAGAACTCATTCAAACTTGGCTTCCCTTGCTCATTATCAGGAGTCCTGAGTAGAAGCTCCCATTAGCAAGTTACTTCTTGATACTTTATCTTTATCTTGAAGTTACATCTTTCTGTCCAAGAGTTAGCCCAAGCTCCGTCTTGCCCATTTCTCTTCGTTGTGTCTTAGTTCTATTCATTCTTAGACAGTACTCTGGCTGTCCTCTAGCTATGTGTCAAGTTCTTCTCCACCTATGTTTCCCGAAAGTTAGCTCCCATTGCATATCTTTACTTTTACTTGTATTTTTATTTGCATATATTGATTTACAAAGTTTTCATTTCTATACATGCATATATGTACTTTGATCATATTCAATCCCTCTATTGCTCTGTCTTTATCACTTCTGCCTTAAAACAATTAATGAGCTGGGTGCTGGCAGCTCATGCCTATTATCCTACCTACTAAGGAGGCTGACATCTGATGATCACAGTTCAAATCCAGCCCAGGCAGAAGTCTACGAGACTCTTACCTGCAATTAACCAACAAAAAAGCTGGAAGTGGAGCTGTGGCTCAACTGATAGAATGCTAACCTAGAGAATAAAAGTTTAGGGACAGCACCTAGGCCCTGAGTTCAAACCCCTGGAGTGGCAAATAATTAATAATAACAATAATAATAGGTTTCAGTATTCTATTTCATATTCAATATAATATACTTTGATTATTCATACTACCCTCCCTCATTTCATACATACATACATACATACATTACAAACATAAAATACAAGAGCCAGCACTTGAATGGAGTATGTATGCTATTTTTTTTAATAACATACATTCTGGTTGTTTTTGATATGCAGCCAGGTGGAGGCGCCATTGAGCCAGATGAGCCATGAAGCCCAACAAGTTACCCAGCACAGGAATTTCCCATTCACGCGGTGCTAATCTATGGTTAAGCTTGGGATGGTGCTCAGTGTAGTGTCCCTCAAAGAATTATTGGAGGCTTGGAAGTGTGTGATAGCTGGTCCAAGCTGCTGAGCATGCTCCTGAAGGAACTGCGGGTGATTTCACCCTCTGGGGTCATCAAAGGGACCACCTGCTCCTTCACACAAGGTGCCTTTCATTTCCTTCATGCTGGAGATGGATGATGTCAAGGCAATTCATTGCTTCCTACAGTCTAAAGTTACATCACAGCCCTATGCGATTTTTCTTAAGGCAGCCAGCCTCAAATGAGTTGAGCACAATTTTCCCTGGGAGCAACAAAAAGGAGGAGAAAATTTGGTTAAATATTTTTCCACGCGATGTCACCTTTGGAGCAGTTAAAACACACACACACACACACACATACACACACACACACACACACAAAAAAAACCCTACCCCCCCCCATTGTTTTGAAAGTGTGTGAGAGATATATTTGATTTGATGAACTCTCAGCCAAGTCAAGCAAGTACCTGCTTCATTCCTCCTCATTTGACAGGTTTAGATACCGGCCGAGCAGAACCCATTTAAACTTTCAAAAGCTCTTGGCCGTTTAGATATACCATTCTGTGTTTGGCATGACACAGCAGGTGTTTCAAGATTTTCTTCTACCAAGAAGGAAGTCCCCCCCACACACACTTATTGTGTTTCATTGTGCTTTAATTTTATTTCGACCAAACCTGTGAAACTTGGAGAATGTTTGCTCTATATATTGCAACATCTACCACCTTGGCAAAACGATTTTTTGTGTATTATTTCATTGTTTACTTTTCCTCATATTCTCTCTCTCTCTCTTTCTCTCTCTCTCTCTTTCTCTCTCTCTCCTTTCCCCCCTTCTCTCTTCTCTCCCTCAACACATTCAATGAGTGCCCTAAACGGTGACAAACTTGCATGTGCTTTTCTTATGACTAACCCGCTGGGCCTCGGGCCAGTCCCCCACAGATGGCCCCCAACATTCAAGCATCTCACTCCAAGATCCCGCATTTGCAGCCCTGGTTGGAGCCGTCAGGGTGGAGGGGCGCGATGGGGAGTGGTGGTGTCTCCATCCTGTGGGAAGGTGAAGCAACTTCCAGGAGGAAACAGGCGTTTCCTTCCCACGCGCTCCAGTGCGCCCCGGGTCTTGGCCTTGGGGCTCCACCCAGGCCCTCCCGGCGCTCTGGGAAAAGCCAGTCGCCACACACAGGCACACGCAGGCCCCGGCGCCGCGCCCTAAGGAGAGCAGCCTTGGGGCCGATTGCCTTGGCAACCCCGCGGTTCCCTCCACTTCCCCACCCAGCCGGCTCCCCTCCTCCCGGCGCCGCAGCCAACCGGGCTTGTGCGCGCGCCCCGGAGCGCACTATAAAACCTGTGCCGGTGGCGCTCGCTGCTCAGCCAGACCTGGGAGGAAGGCGGCCAGTGCCCATCGCAGCGCCAATCCGCAGCCGAGCAAGTCTCGATCGTTCTGTCACAGTGGGGGAAAGAATCAAGCCTTAGCATGCAGAGTGTGCCGATCACCAGCTTCTTTCTGCAAACGCAGCGCCTTTGCCTGGCCTTCGTGGTCCTCCATCTTCTGGGTCAGGTAAGGGGTGCGCTCCCCTTACGCTGTCCCTGGATGGCTTTGCGCTCCCGGCCTGCTTGGTGTCCGAGCTCTCACTAAGGGAATTCTCCTCTTTGTCTCGCCGCCCCTTCCCCAGGTCTCTGCGAGTCCGCGCTGTCCTTCCCCGTGCCCGCACCGCTGTCCCGAGATGCCACCGACCTGCGCCCCCGGGGTGCGCTCCATGCTGGACGGCTGCGCCTGCTGCCTGGTTTGCGCCCGCCAGCGCGGGGAGACCTGCTCTGAGCTGCAGCCTTGTGACCAGAGCAGCGGCCTCTACTGCGACCGCAGCGCGGACCCCAGCAACCAGACCGGCATCTGCATGGGTAACGAGGTCCCCCTCCCCTCTCCTCTTCTATGCCTTCCCAGAAGGCCATACGCAAATAATTCTAGTAACGCAAACTAAGTGATCTTCGTGGAATATACTATCAGCCAGGCATGATCAAAGGGTTCTTGAAGGTTTGGGGGTGCCAAATGCCAGAGAGGAAACCTCACCAGAGAGGTGAGAAGTATTCATGGCTTACCTCTCTAGAGAAGAATCTGGCCTGGGGTAAAGCAGAGTTACTAGGGCCAGTGAAATCATTTCCTTTGGTCGTTTCCAGGGGAGCTGGGAGGGGGGGGGAGGTAATGGAAGTTTAGACTTAGTCACAGGTTTCAAGTCCCCACCCCACCCACCCAACTGCAGCCTAGCAAAGTTGTTTTCACACCTGTAATTGTCCTGTTGGGGCCAAAGCAGCTCCTAGGCTCCCAGGAGGACAATATAACCTCTGTCTAGGCAGCAATAAAATACAATGCAGGCAACTAGCCAATCAAGGCTCATGAAATTTAATCAATCAAGATCCGGGTCCCAGGTGTCGCCCCTCAGTAAGTGTGGGGCTCTTCCTGCCTGCCTGGATAGGAGAGCATGGGATGGCCTTTTATTTCTGATTCCTCCCCCTCTCCCCAGCTAGTGACGATTTATTGCGCTTCCTTGCCTGAGAATCCTACTGTTCTTCCCAATTTGACCAATTACCCTAGTTGGAAAATAGGAACACGCACACCTCTCTCTCTCTCTCTCTCTCTCTCTCTCTCTCTCTCTCTCTCTCTCTCTCTCTCTCTCTCTCTCTCTCTCTCCCCCTCCTCCTCCTCTCCTCTTTTCCCTCTCTCTCTCTTCCCCCTGTTTTTAAGCCTAAGTTGCTGGAGTAGAAGAACCTAAAGTGATTCTTGGAAAATGAATTGTCATTGGGAACAAGAGCTATGGGGGTCTTGAGTAGCTTTACTATGGCCTTTTCCTGTCATCTTATAAATGAAATTGCCTGGGAGGGGGGAGGGGCAATCTCAAAAGGTAGCAGAGGATATTATAGAAGCCATTAATTAGCCAGACTATTCATATTGGCAGTGTTCAGGGTTCCATTATTTATATACCTCTCTCCTCATTCCCAAGACCAAAGTGGATGTGGCAGGACTGGACGGTTTTGACTATTTCTTTTTGTCCTTTATAAGATCATCAGAAATCAGACCATTAGCAAAGGGACACCTATGGGATATGGCCTCTAAATTTTACACCACATCCCCAGTGCATTGTATTCTTGTGTTTCCCCCCTCCCCTCTCTCTCTCCTTTCCTCTACCTTGTTCCCTCCATGTTCTAGTGCTTGATGGAGACAATTGTGTCTTTGATGGGGTCATTTATCGAAGCGGAGAGAAGTTTGAACCCAACTGTCAGTACCACTGCACCTGCAGAGACGGACAAATTGGCTGTGTGCCTCGCTGTCAGCTGGATGTGCTACTGCCTGGTCCTGACTGCCCAGCTCCAAGGAAAGTCGCAGTGCCTGGAGAGTGCTGCGAAAAGTGGACCTGTGGCCCAAATGAGAAGGGGACCCTAGGAGGCCTTGCTCTTCCAGGTGAGAAGCTTAGCGTACAGAGAAATCTCCCAGGGTAAAGGCAGGCACAAAGCACATGAGACTTTTAGGTTGGAAGTTGACCTTCATTTCTGGCCAAGCCAGTGTGGATTCCAGTTTGCCTACCAGGCTCAATCCTACCGGATTTCATACACTGTCTATGCTTTCTCAGATGTCACTGAGAACTCTTGTCTTTCCAGACACTGTAGAAAAAAAAAGGCTCAAGTGGTACTTTGGGACTTTTTTGTTTGTTTTTGCACTATCCCATATAGCACATGATTGCAAGGAGTAGATCGGAATCTCAAGAGGCAATAGAGAATAATTTAGAAGTTATTTATCATACAGAATATGTATATTGGCCATATCTAGAGTTTTACAATCTTTGGAGATTAGAAATTATCAGTCTTTTCCTTAGAGACAGGAAAGCTGCCATATAGAGGAGATATGCTCTAAGGCTTATATATGAGTGTTGAGACAAAAGATTTTTTGCAATCAGAATCCCAAGTGTCTACACAGATACATAGTTAGATACATAAATAGATAGATAGATGCATAGATAAGTATATACATATACAGGTACATACGAACATGCATACATACACAGGCAGACATTCTCAGAATTAAATCCACCAGTTCTTCCTTCCCAAACGCAAAGTAGTGCTTTGTAAAGCAGAGTATTTTCATCATCGGTTTGACTTGGCTTGTTCTACTGACCCATTACAATTAAAATGTTATTGTGACCCTTTATATATATATATATATATATATATATATATATATACACACACACATATATATATATACATATACAGAATCGCATGCTTAAAACACTGCTACTTATGAAATAGTTGTTGATACTCACCTGTTCTATATTCTTAAAACTACTGAACTTTGAAAGACAAGTTGTGATCCTAAGCCTTTTAAGGCCCAGTTGGGCAATCATTCCAGAAAACTTTCTTAAAGTCTTACAATGTGCCAAGCATTAGACTGCTTACTAGATGGGTATAAATAAATCTATTCTGTGCCCTGGGAGGACTCATATGTATCAATTATAGAATTAAATGAAATCTACTATCTACTACTGGCTGACAGGAATACTGTCTGTGTGTCTGTGTGTCTGTGTGTGCGTGTGTGTGTGAATGTGTGTGTGTGTGCGCGCGCACATATACATGTGTGCGTGCATGCACAAGACAAGGGCTGAACTCCAAACCCCAGGTGCTGACCTTTAGCTCTTTTGCTCAAGCCTGACACTCTTATCACACAGCTCCACTTCTGGCTTTTTGGTGGTTAACTGGAAATAGTCTCAAGTGCTTTCTGCATGGGCTGACTTTAAACCAGAGTCCTCAGCCGTGTCTCAGCTTCATGAGTAGCTAGGATTACAAGATGTGAGCCACCAGTGCCTGACCACTATTTAATCCCCATATTTTACCCAAGATAGCTATCTTTCTTCATATGCCATAGCCTACAGGCCAGAAGCCACTGTAGGAGTTGAAGTCTCTGACTCCAGTATCAACTGCATAGAGCAGACCACGGAATGGAGTGCATGTTCCAAGAGCTGTGGAATGGGCATTTCCACCCGGGTCACCAACAGGAATCGTCAGTGTGAGATGACGAAGCAGACTCGGCTCTGCATGGTGCGACCTTGTGAACAAGAGCCAGAGCAACCAACAGATAAGGTAGGAGTGGGGAGAAATCTACTCGGAGCCTGGGCTTCAGAAAGTCACTGTGACACTGGTTGGCTCAAATCTACCTGGGTATAAACCCCAGAAAAAAAGGCAGAGAAGATCCTGAATCCAAGCTCAACACCTTTTTTTTAGCCCCCTCTAAATCCTGCCCCCAAGCTACTCGTAGCTGAGCTACAGGAAAAAAAGAACAGGGTCCGATGACTATTCTCCCCAATTGAGAATATTCTAGAAAATTCCATTCTATCCCTGAAGAAAATTGGCCACCCCATTGTCAAGCATAGCTGATTTTAGAGGTGTTTTGTTCAAGCTGTAGGAAGCCACAGTGTAGACTGATTTTGCCTTACCAATCCCACAATCCCCAGAACCCTACCTATTACATATGTGGGAATGATAAACATTGGTTTGAGAATACAAGAATGGGTGTCAGGGAATTCTTGTCTGCATTTTTCAAAGCCTGTTGGAAATAGAACATTGGCCAGCATAAAACAACATGAGCCAAATAAAATAACACATTCCCCCCACTCCCCAACCCCACTTTTTTTGCTGGAATTCTATTGACAAAATGTGTTAACTCTGGGAATAAGGCACGTAGATCAGAAGCTATAATTGGTTCTGAATGATATCACAGCCCTTGCTACAGATCTCTATCAGATAAATGTAATATTAACATTGAACTGTTAGCTATACCCTTGTACAAAGGTAAGGCCAAAATAAAACAGCCCTAGAAACAAGATTTACATATCTCTACACTGAGGAAATAGTATCTAATGTTAAGGAGACTACTCCAGGGCCAGACAGCCTGGCTTTAAGTCCTGTTTTTCTAATATGAGCTATGTGATCTTGGATAATTTCCTTAACCTCTCAGTATCCTATCCCTTCCTTGTGTAATGGAACCATTGAAAATATCTATCTTAAGGTTGCCATGAAGATTAAATAGAATGAATCTGTCAGATGCTGGGAATAGGTTAACTGCCCTGTTAACTATCATTACTTAAAATTTACCTATTGGTGAAATAAGAGTTCTTAGTGGTTGTATTAGTTATATAGTTGCTTAGCTATTTGCCTTTTGTGAGACCAATTTTAACTTTATATTTCTTTTACTTATTTAGAAAGACCACCTAAAAACATCTTTTCTCAAAAATTAGGAAATAAACCTGTAACAATTCTATGCACACTCACCTACGCAAGCAGCCCTGTGCACACACGTACCTATACATACACCCACACATACACACAGATAGATACATACACACATACACATTTATGCACACAAATATCTCTGGACCTTTCCTTTTCATGGCTATTGGCAATAGCATACACTATATATTAAATACCAAAAACTGAAGAAACAAGAATTCCTTTAATATTTTCAAGGACACATCATTGCTTTTAGCTGGGAAGAGTGATCTGAGAGAGCATTGAGATATGTTGTCCAAGCTAGCCTTGAATTCATAATCCTCAGTTTCCTGAGTTCTAGGGATTAGAGGAAACTCCATCTAGTCCCCTTTTCTTTATTAAGTAAGATCTTCCATCTTACTCTCTAACTTCTGACCTTTTCTAGTGTTTCATAAATTGGCATTTTGTTTTTGTAATATTTACCCCATTTAACACGAGAAGATACTGTATTTAAGATGTTTATAACATTTATATCCCATAAAGGTTCAAGAAATTTGCTTGGAGTCTAGGGAAGCAGTAACATATTAGTCATGTCTACCTTGTTTCCAAGAGATTCTTAACTCTGAGACAATGGGTTCTTAGAATACGGTCCCCAAACCACCTGCACATCTGTAGATCTCCCATCAGATGTGAAGATCAACTATCTGATGGCTTAGACACACAGTAGGGTTTGAGAGCCACTGATTCAGGAGAATTCTGGGTCTTATCACCCCCACACACTGTAAGCTGTGCCTGGAAACTGAGCAGCAGAAAGAACTGTGGCTGATTTGTAGTTTAAGTAGTCTAAATTAGGAATAAAGCAGTCAATTCTTTGCTGGGCTGACTATCCTGGGTGTTCTTGGTGGAATCTTGAATAAACTCTCCACTTTCCTCACCTTCAATCCCATCATCTTGGCTTCTTCCTGAGGTCATTGTACAATAGAAACTATGTATGGACTTTGCAGCAGACAAATTCAAATGTTGGAAGTTTTCTGATTGCTTTAGTCCTTGGAGATTGTGTTTCTTTATAAAATTTGAATAAATGTTCCTTCTATAAAGAATCATTCTTTGTATGAATGAATATTGTTAACGTTTAGTAAATTCATCCCTGAAATGTATTTGAAACATCTGGTAATACCAGATTTTATTCCCATTCCCATCATAACAACAAAAAATATATTTTTGCTTCAAAAGTACATAAAGTCTTATAAAATAGATAATACTTTCATCTTAATGTCCTTGGCCTCAGAATTCAAAGATGGTTACACAATTAGGATTGTGTTCATATTCCAAGCAGAAAAAATAAGGAAGGAATAGAGGTTAAAATGGAAAGAAAGGTAGAGGATTTCCTAGTTATCTTTGGTTAATATTGCCCACAAATTTATCCCAAGGCCAGCTTAAGCTCCTAGGTATTCAAGAGAAAGAACTTACTAGCAGGCCACATCGCCCAAAGACAGTTCACATTCTGTTAGCAAAGAGGAAAGAGCAATGCATAGTACTCAGGAAACTAGCCAGACACATCATACTGAAAGAACTGCCCTTCAATGGAATGGCAGACAAGCAGACATCTCCATTCATCTCTCTTTTTCTCCCTTTTGTTTTTAGAAAGGAAAAAAGTGTCTCCGTACCAAGAAGTCCCCCAAGGCCATCCACCTGCAGTTCAAGAATTGTACCAGCCTGCATGCCTACAAGCCCAGGTTCTGTGGGATCTGCGGTGATGGCCGATGCTGCACGCCCCACAACACCAAAACCATCCAGGTGGAGTTCCTGTGCTCCCCGGGGCAGAACATCAAGAAGCCAGTGATGGTCATAGGGACTTGCACGTGTCACACCAACTGTCCTCAGAACAACGAGGCCTTCCTGCAGGAGCTGGAGCTGAAGAACAGCAGAGGGGAAATATAACATGCTCCTCGCGGAGCTCTACCACCAAATGAATATAAAGAGAAACATGGAAGAAGCAGTATTGCATCCTGAGTCCTATGTATCTTTTCCATGATGATACCAGGTCATTTATGTTTGCCTTTTTTTTTTGACTGACAGATACTCCAACTGTAAATGTGGAATCAAGGTAAGCTGGGGTTATGGCTTAGAGGTGACTTACATTCCTGTGATGTTTATTACAAATGAAAACATCTATGAATTTGAAATTCAGATAGATGATTCACTTTGTAGATTGTATCACATGACACAGCTTAATTTTGTTATGCACTAGTGTAATTCTAAGAAAAATGACACTGCATTGAATGATGCAGTGAAATCTAGGATCCAAAATTTAGGATCTTTTATTTCATCAACTATTGAGATTTTTATTTGAGAGTTCTCTATTGGGCTCCATTTTGAGGAGGATAAAGTCTTCACTTCCAAACACAAGATTAACACAAATGTGTAGCACTTCAACATAAAGTCCAGAAACTTAATTTTTGGTTTAGTTGTATACTAAGGAAGCATTCTTTATCTACATAAATGAAATGTTTGGTAATTAAGTGTACTGGTGTCATGAACTTGCCCCGTTGAAGAAAAACTGACTCCTTTCCAGTAGAAAGAAGCTAAACAGAGAACTTCCAGTTCAGATATGCCTGGGTCTCAGACTACTCTGACATTTGTATGCTACTAAAACACTAGTTTTATGATTCAACAGAAATTGAGATCAGTAAGTATCTTCCTGAGTAAGTAAACGGAATACATTGAGACCCACTGTACTAGATTACCTCCCCTTATGACTTTTCAAGGGTTCTTTGAGTAGAAGAAGAAAACAATAGAAGAATAAAACAATAGGAACAAAATCCACATGTCTGTGACAGTGAGAAACCACAAAAGTGATGAGAGTTTAGAATTACTGTAGACTTATCCAGATGGGTCATCATTATAAAAACTCATAAGCAAAGTGTATGTGTCCACAAACATGTCTCTAACAGAGCTTACTCGAAGACAGGCTACAAAGCTAATCTATATATTCTTCTGTGTCACCCTACGCGTTCCACTTTTCTCCCTCAAAGTATTTATAAAAATGTAAATTATACGTTTTGTAAAATAGCCTTCTAACTTCTGTACTTACCAGTTATGACCAAGAAAGAACATGATGTTCTCAGAGTGTGACTCCGGTATAATTTTGTGCTGTACCTGTCTCACATTATTGCTTACTAAGTAGAAAATAAAACTTTATGAATTACAACTGGATACCTTTCAGAAGCATCAATTGAAAGCAAAGTGGTAATTGTGGAGTGAGTTCATAACTTTTGATTAAAAGGAAAATGAAAGACAGTTCTTATTGTATGAGATGAGCTCTGCTGCCCAGGTTTCAGTTATTCTCCATTTACCAATCCATGTCTGAAGCCCTGATTGGTTTTTCCAAACAACCCACCAGTATTCTGGTATTGAAATTTGTTTTTTGTTTGTTTGTTTGTTTTTGATTTGGGTGGGGGGGTTTGTCAGTCATGGGCTTGAACTCTGAGCCTGGGCACTGTCCCTCAGCTCTTCAGCTCAAGGCCAGCACTCTACACTTGAGCCATAGTGCCACTTCTGGTTTTCTGAGTGGTTTATTGGAGGTAAAAGTCTCACAGAGTTTCTTGCTCAGGCTGACTTTGAACCGCGATCCTCAGATCTCAGCCTCTTGAGTAACTAGGATTACAGGCATGAGCCACCAGCGCCCGGCTGCTATTGAAATTTGAATTCATTGTCTGACGAAACAAAACATACCTTCTTGACTTCTTTTTTTTTTGCCAGTTATGGGGCTTGAACTCAGTACCTGTCCCTAAACTTCTTTTGCTTAAGGCTACCACTCTACCACTTGAGCCACTTCCAGCTTTTTCTGTATATGTGGTACTGAGGAATCGAACCCAGGGTTTCATGCATGCTAGGTAAGCACTATACCACTAAGCCACATTCCCAGCCCCTCTTTTTGACTTATTAAGCAAATTAAAGGACTTGCCATCCTCCAATTATCCAGCTAAAACCATCAGCATTCTCTTGATCAAGTCTGCTCTTGCCATAGATCCCGAAAACCATCCAGTCACCCACTTATACCCATCAGCCCTGTACCCACGAATTCAGCTAATCATGGATTTTAAATATTCAGAAAAACAGCTGGGAACTAATAACTCACACCTGTAATCCTAGGTACTTGGGGTAGCTGAGACAGGAAGGGTTTCAGTATGAAGCTGGTTAGGAAAGCCCTTTTCAAGCAAAAGCTTGGCACAGAGGCATATGCCTGTCATCCCAGCTACAGGGGCTGAGATCAGGATGGTCACACTTTCAGAACAGCCCAGGTAGAAACGTCCATGGGACTCCATCTCAGAGGAAGAGGCTAGGTATGATGATACAAACCTGTTATCCCACCTATGGAAGGAAGCTTAATTAAGGTAGACTAAAGTCCAGCCACTGCCTGGGCAAAACGTGAGATGCTACCTTAAAAATAAGCCTCTGCCCCCAAAACAGTGTTCTCAGTAGCAGAGTGCCTTACTAGCAAGCATGAAGCTCTGAGTTCGATTCTCATGACTATCTCAAAAACAAATCAGGAAAGAGAGAAAGAGTTCATACCTGTAATTCTAGCTACTCAGGAGGCTGAGATCTAAGGCTCGGGGTTTGAAGCCAGCCCTGGCAGGAAAGTCCATGAGACTCTTATCCCCAATAAACCACCAGAAAACCAGAAGTGGTGCTGTCTCACCTTGAGCTGAAGAGCTCAGGGACATTGCCTGGGGCCCAAAGTTCAAGCCCCATGATCAACCACAAAAAAAGAAGGGAGAAAGAAAGAAAGAAAGGAAGAAAGAAAGAAAGAAAGAAAGAAAGAAAGAAAGAAAGAAAGAAAGAAAGAAAGAAAGAAAGGAAGGAAGGAAGGAAGGAAGGAAGGAAGGAAGGAAGGAAGGAAGGAAGGAAGGAAGGAAGGAAGGAAGGAAGGAAGAAAGGGAAGAAAGAAAAGTGTAGAGTGCTAGCCTTGAGCAAAAGAGCTCAGAGACAGTACTCAGGCCCTGAGTTCAAACCTCATGATGGACAAAAATAGAGAGAGAAAGAGAAATCTTAGGAAATACATATATAGAGATAAAGATATAGACATATATAGATATAGATACAGGTATCTATCTATGTATATATACACAGAGAGAGAGAGAATCACAAATATTGTTGTGGAATGTCTCCTACATAGTTAGGCCAATCATGGATGCATGGGTACTGAATAGATAGAGAAACTTTTTCTTGTCATTATTCCCCAAATAATACAATAAATCTATGTACATAGCTCTTAGATGGCATTGGGTACTGTAAATAATCTATCAATAGTTTAAAGACTAGGGGAAAATGTGAATAAAATAAATGCAAATATTGCACCATTTTGTAAAACAGACTGAAGTATCCACAGATTATGGTTTCTTGAGAGAGTCCCTGATTGACCCTGGGTCATGCAGAACAGAGCCACAACCACAGCTGCACTCTGGTAGGATGACAATTGCACATCACTTGACATTTGTGTTTTGAAGTTCCTAGCTGATGCAGAGACTATCTAAAATCCTTCAATCTAAAATCCTTCCATAATTTAAAAAGTAATGAAAAAGATTTTCCCCAGCTTCACTTCCTCTGTCTACAGCCTCCTTCCCATCCATCGCTATAACACATTTCTATTTGACTTTAAGATACATCAGGGAACAAATTGGACTTTCAAAATTGACTCACAGGAAAGTATCAAGGACATCTGACATTTACGGCAAATTTAGCATTGGGTAGAGCACTTTATTTCCATCATATTGCTTAATTTGCCCAATTTCATATGTAGCATTCAGCTTACCCATGAGAAAAAAAATTTAAAGAAGATGATAGCATAGCACTAGACTTCTAAGCAAAGTCCGTTCACTCCCACTGAATTTAAACATAACATGCATCTGTGCAATCATTTCACCTCTGGAACTACTCAACACCATACTATTCATAGTGAGAAAAAAATAAAAAGCAACCTCTCAAAGACATACCATACAGATTTGCCTATTTTTTTTTATAATGGACAACAAATCAATCTCAAAAATAAGAATGCAGAAAAAGATACACTAGGAAAATATATGAGAAGAGTTGTTTGCTTTTGTTTAGGAACTATTAAGTTTGGTGCCAGTGTCTCATACTTGTAATAGTTGCTACTCAGGAAGCTGAGATCCGAAGATCAAGGTCCAAAGCCAGCCCAGGCAGGAAAGTCTATGAGTCTCTTATCACTAATTAACCACTTTGAACAAAACTGCTTAGTGACAGTGCTCAGGCTCTGAGTTCAAGCCCAAGACAGGCACACACACACACACACACACACACACACACACATACATGACTAAGTCTTAGATCTGGAAATGGAGGTACACACCTGAAATCCCATATGTCAGGAGACAGAAGCAAGAGAACTGTGAATCTGAGGTCATATAGTGAGACTTGGTCTCAAGGAAACTAATTAACAGAAGTATCCATAAACATCAATCAAAGGAGACCAAGGAGAGAATGTGCAGAAAGTATTAGTAATTCTGTCAGGCTCGGCTCATACTGTTTTTCTTTTTCATGGTTTCTGCTAGCTATCTTCCTTAAGACTGAGAATACTCTTTATAATCAGGAAAAAAACATTTAAGGCTGAATTCAGTTGTCCCTTCCAGCAGTCCCTCTCAAACCTCTATTCATCCATATGGCAATAACTTCACCACCCAGCATCTAAAACATATTCTAGTTGACTCACTTCATTCATTCAACAAATACTGATTGCTTCTGTGTGCCTAGCATTATTTCAGATGAGAGGTAGGGCAGGATAGCTTTGACAACAAAAGTTTATAATAAACATTGTACCTATTTTCTGATATTTATACCCTGTTGGGAAAAGCAGGCAAAATAATGCAGTCAATATACACATGTGCATGGACACACACACACACACACACATACACACACACAACATACACATACACAAAGTATCAAATAGCAAACAAATACACCCTGTGAACAAAGCAAGATAAGATAATGGTTTCTAGATGTTGAAAATGCCTGAGTAGCCAAGGAAGCTGTTTCTGATCAGATGACATTTCTTCCAAGCTCTAACAGGAATGCAAAAGCAAGAGACCCTTCCAAACAGAGGTAACAGCTGTGATAAGAAAATATTTAAAAACTTGCAACATTAAGGAGAACCACGTAGCCCTATGTGGATCAAGCATGGGACAGGAGTTGTCTAGCAGCAGCTTGAGTAACAGAAAAGGGCTTACCTCTATTATCAAAGTTCTTCAATTGATTCCTTATCTTCCCATTGCCAGCAGCTTGATACCAGCACCTTAGTCTTGACTGAATCTGTCCTGTGTTCCCAATAGGTAGCAAGGCTTCATTGTTATATGACCTGTTCAGTGAATGAATTAATGAATTAATGAGTGATCTCTGGAAAGATGGAATGCTCTTTCTTTGAAATAAAATTTCCATTTTCATTGTCCATTATTCCTCATTCTCCAACAGATTCAGATACCCCCACATACATGCATTCCTGAAATTACAATTAAAGGTTAGAAAAATGTGATCTGTCATACAAATATTTGCAAAGTTCGGAATGTTCTACTAAGACAGCGAGGGAACTAATACTAACTGCTTTGGGTTTAAGGCTTCAGAATGTGCAGGCTTGAGAGTTATTCAAGCCTGGATTTGAAGACAGGCTTCTTCTTTCCTAGCTGTGAGATGGTGAAGAGTTTGCAAAGCCTCTAAGTTTCCATGACTGCAACATGAGTATAGATATTGTCAGAGTGGCCAACTGTCCTCAACTGAGACTATATTGGGGACACAAAACTTTCCATTGTAAAATCAAGACAGTAGAACAAACAACTCATGGCTCACACCTATAATCCAAGCTATTTGGGAGGCTGAGATCTAAGGATGTGTGGTTTGAAGCCAGCCCAAGCAGGAAAGTCCATGAGACTCTTTATCTTCAATTAACTACCAAAATATCCAGAAGTGGAGCTATGGCTTAAGTAGTACAGTGCTTAGCCTTGAGCAAAAATGCTCAGGAACAGTGCCCAGGCTGGACACAAAGAAAAAAAATCAAGGCAGTTGGATGAGTTGGTCACCCTAATACTGATTGTATTTGGCACACAGTAGATCTACAACTGTATATTTGTATGTTACACATTTAACAGAATGGCATTGCCCCCTTATTCTAAATAGGTAATATACTAAGTTACTGTA